TGCCTGTATACTATCACGGCCAACTGGGTGGACATTTTCACCCTGCCACTAAGAAATTTTTGTGAATGTTCAACAGCTGGGTGGTCCAGCTCAGATGTTATCTCTTCCTGTCTGTATGTCCACCCAACATGCTTGATGAACACAGGGTGGATTTTCAATTATCAATAATACTGGTATTGATAGCAACAGTGAAAGCTCAAACCAATTCTTTCCAAGCATCAATTTGTATTTTCCCATGCTGTATGTTCAAAATACCTTGAAATACATGTATCAGTTTTGCATCTCTTTAAAAATCTAGGGGGGGGGGGATTAGTACCAGGGCAGCCAATACACCACATTTCTTGATGCATTGGCATCCATTTTAATTTGGATTGAGATAAATTTGTGTATATTCATGATTGGAATAACAAATTACAGCTATTTCAAAAAAGGTTGTCCATGTCCTGAAAGTTTTTTCTTCCTCTTTTTTTTTTTTTTTTTTTTTTTTTTTTTTTCTTTTTTCATCCTGGTCAAACATGATGCTCCTTACACATAAGCTTTGACAACTCAACAAGGATTCAACTAGCTTGGGAGATGGGTTTTTGAGCCCTGCATTACATAGGCCCACCCTCTATGGTAGGAATCCTCCTTGAGTTGGTTGATTCCTGTTGAGATGATGCAGTTGATGCATATGAATAGATGAAAAAGAAAAAGATCTGAGGAGGAAATTTTTTTACAGATTGGAAAACCTTTGTTGGAATAGCTGTATGTAGATAAAAAAAGGGTGCACAGATCAAAAATATTCACCATTTTCTTGTATTTTGTTCCTATTGATCTCATTCTATTCATGCAATCAACATTCTTATGGTGTTTTCATGATCTCATTGATTTTCTTTCCTGGAAATGAATTCAAGACCTTTGGATGAAACTATGAACCAAATTTTCCCTTTGCCCTAGGTTTTTTTGGGTTGTTCATAGGATTTTGAAAATCTGAAACAACTACCCACCTTGGCCCAATTTTGAAAAGGTTGGTGCAGGTTTGAATTTTTTTTTTTCAACTCAGCCTGACCTCCATGTCACCCAGGGTTCCAAGATCTCATTTTGATGAACCAACCCCGCATTTGTATGGGAGTGGATGCTTTCATTGTCAATTTGAATAAAAAGATCTATTGGCCTTTTACAGAGTCCAATCTGATGGGAAAAGAAGTAATTGGATCCTTATAAATCCAAACAAAAATTGATTGCAGCATAGACATGATGTGTGCACAATCATTTCCCAAAAACCATTCAAATTGTTTCCAAAAAGATGAAGTAAGGCTCCAAACTCTCTGCCATGACTCTGAGGCTCAGCTTGATGTGGAATTTGTACTTATTTGATTGATCATCTCAGGGTCCAGTCCCAAATTTTGATCCAAAAATGCCTGCTTGTTGTAATCCTTGTTTTTCTTTCTTTTTTTTCTTCAGGAGAAAGAACTTGGATAGTTCTTGATCGTGATCAGAGAAAAATGCACCCTAGTAGGTGATCCAAGTTGGACTTGCTGTAAATTAGCAATGCGTGCGCTGTGTTGCATCTGGCCGGCCCGAAACAAATTTGGATGGCCGAGTCGTTGGATGTATGCACCCCGTTGACAACTTTGGTTTGACCTGCATCTCACAACCAACCTCAACCTCGTCGATCTCAGAACTCAAGGATGGCCAAGAATGCGAATCCGGTTCCAGGAGCGGGAACTAATGGTAGACCGATAGTCTTCATGGGTATGTAAAAAAATTAACTTTCTATATGTGATCAACAGGTTGTTGACTTGATTTGTTCATTCATCTATGTAGATATTAATATCGGGGAAACCCCAGCTGGACGAATCAAGTTCGAATTATTCACGGATATCGTCCCCAAGACAGCCGAAAACTTTCGACAACTTTGTACGGGCGAACATCGGTGAGTGAGTGAAGAGTCCTAAGGATTAATTCGGATCAAAAGACGATCTTCTATCTTATTCCTTTCGTTGGCCTTCTCGAGTTAACCCAATCTTTCTTGAATATCATCCATCTCCTCCAGGCCCAATCGACAACCAGTGGGTTATAAACACAGCATCTTCCATCGTGTCATCAAAGACTTTATGGTCCAGGGTGCGACCTAGTTTCATCTTTCCGATCTCGATCGGTCGACTGAGATCAAATCCGGATCCTGACTTAAGAATCACCCCATTCTGTCTTTTAAGGTGGCGATTTCTTGAACTCGGATGGGACTGGCTCAACCTCTATCTACGGCCAAAAGTTCGAAGACGAAAACTTCAAACTTAAGCACGAATCCGCTGGGCTACTGTCGATGGTCTGGCCTTTCCCTCACACTTTCCGTCCTCTGTTTTCATTTTTCGCTTTCGCGTCTTACGCCATTAATTGTCTTTGTCTGTCTTGCCGTATGATTTTTCTTTTTTTTTTTCGATCATCACAGGCGAACTCGGGGCCAAACACGAATGGATGTCAAGTGAGTCGACCCCCTCTGAAGCCCCATTTTTTTGGCACAAAAAAAAAGGAACACCCGATTACTGATGGCGAAAAAAAAAAAAAAAAAAATCAAAATCTTACAAACATGTTAAAAAAAGTTCTTTATTACCTCAGCAGCATGTGATTTCCTGGATGGAAAACACGTCGTCTTTGGCAAAGTATTAGATTCCGATGGACTGTTGGTCATGCGGAAGATTGAGAACGTGCCCACGGGGCCGAATAACCGGCCTAAACTGACCGTCAAGGTCACTGGTAAGCAGTCGAGCTTATCATCTTCCCACTCGCCCCTCCTCTTTCCTCTCTGATTTTGTTGTTTTTCTGATCTATCCTCTCTTTTTTCCATTCAGAATGCGGCGAAATGTAGTGCTCTCCCTCTCCTCACCATCAGACACTATTGATACCTTTTACACAAAAAAACAACAACAAGAATGATTCATATCTTGTACGATAAAACGATACAAAATAGAACACAAAAATGACACGGAGATATATATATATAATGTATGAACATCTCTGAGGTAGGAAGCAGAATACACATTCCAAGAATCGTGGTAGAAAGGCCGATCTTCCCCGCAAGACGCGACTTCAGGAGAGCTGATTAGTCTGTCGAAGTCAAGCAGATCGGCACATGAAGAAGAGGATGTCAAAATGAGAAAAGACCCATCCACGCAATCTTTTCAGATCACTTGTTTCCCTGGGTGCTTCGTTATCTAAATTTGACGATCAACCCGATAGCTTCTGCTTAGTGAAAAAGAATCGACAGAAATCGATCCTCGTTGATCTCTCTGTGGCGTCTTAAGTATGATGAATCGTCTATGTCATCGAGCACGAGAATTTAGGTTATCTACATGTATTTAGAAGCCCGCAGTGAGGTCTTGAGGGCCAACCCATCGCTTGAACCCGGTTCAACCGGCTCGAAAACCTGATCTACATACGGAGAACGACGAGCCCACTATCGGCTTATCCTGCTTAGACAATGCCATAATCTTGGTGGCACGTCTGATCAAGGATTCGAAGCAATTTTAGATTCATACTGACTCTATGGCTCAGACTAACATGAGATATTTTGATCGACAGAAAAGAAATTCACACTGCATGGAGATCTGTTTGATCTGTGGTGGATCTCATCACGTATATTGAAAAAAAAAAAAAATCAAGTTAAAGAAAAAACAAGGATGCTGAGTGCATTGAAAGTCAAGCTATGTAGTTGATTGATAAATACACACACAATAAAAAAAAAATGACGAGAAGAAGAAGAAAAGTAGAAATGATAGATAAGAGGAAGATTGTTGTTGGGAGCCAGAGCCAGAGAGGGACAAGTCTAAATTGATGAATGAGGTTCGACGACGAGCTAGGGCTTGGAAGAACTGTGATCAGAATCAGGCTTATCCAAAGTGGTCTGAGGATCATCCAGATTTTTTTCGGATGAGGGCTTGTCTTCGGATGAGGGCTTGTCTTCGGATGAGGGCTTGTTTTCGGATGAAGGCTGATTTTCGAATGAAGACTGTTTTTCGGATGAAGACTGTTTTTCGGATGGGGGCTGATTGTCGGATGAGGGCTTGTCTTGTTCGGGGCTAGCCTTAACCGGACTGTCCTGGTGATCAGGGTGTTGAAGCGTGGAGGTGATTTGTTTTGGGATAGGTCTATCCTCCTCGGTGGGTGATGGGTGCTCATCACCGTGATCGACTCTGTGAGCAGGTTTCTCATCATGATTTGGTTTGGGTGAAGATGGAGAATCAGTCTCAGATTGGGTTTTTTCCAGAGGAGCCTTCAGATCGTCCTTGAGGTTCTTCTGTTGTTGTTGTTGTTGATTGTGAGTGGGGAAGATCTCGGTGAGCAAACGTTCGGCTCGGTCGAATAAATCGAGGAAGCGAGGTTGAGGGGAGTTGATGCCTAACTGATGATAGATGCCGACTCTGAGGGCACGTTCGAGTGTCGGGAGTAGGTTACGAGTCCAGAGTAAGAGGATCCGATAGGTGACCGATCTGAGTCTATAGGCCGATCTTTTCTCTTGGTCTTCGGTCTCCTCATCGTCCTCTGGTGGTGGTTTGTGTTCCTCTGCTGGTGGATGGACGGTCGGAGACTCGGGAAGGACGAGGAGCAGGTTCCGGAGCTCGTCGGTAGCCGCGCTGAGAGCTTCGAATTGGACATCGGCAATCGAGGCGTAGGATCCGGCAAGCGGTAAGAGACGCAACTCGTTCAAGGCCGTCAGTTGGAGATTCACAAAGCGGAGCAGGGGAGGGAACAAGCTGAGCCAGTCTGACAAGAAACTCTCTGATCTTGGAGCGTCCAACTGGGATGGTTTGAGCTTGAGGACCCGATTGATTGCATCGGGAGAGATCAAGGAATTCTCGAGACCGACGAAGGTGGAGTGAGTTGATGAGGATGAGTATGGGTTGAGTGAGCGTCTTCTGATCTGGAGTGCTCCGTTACGATGATGATTGATAGAGTGGTGAGCTGAAGTGGGTGTGGGGGAGATGATCGGCTTGAGATCGAGAGAGAGTTGGCGTGGAGCGAGTTGGATAGGTGAGCAGATGAGTTGTTCTAATCGAGAGACGATCAAGGGACAGACGGCGAGGGTGAAGTCGAAACCCCACTTTCCGAAGGCGACGGCACAGTAGGCGAGTTGAGTGAGCAGGGAGCTTAGACTGGAGACTGAGAGGATTGAATCTAGATGGGTGTTCAGGAATGAGGCTTGTAGATCGAGAGCGTGGGAGAGGAAGAAGTTTAGGGGAGTTTGAGGATCATCTAGGGATTGTGATGAGTTTGAAGTTGATTTAGAAGATTTGGAGGAGGATGGTGGGTTTAGGAAGATGTCATGATAGATGGAGAGGGAGTCTCCGACAAACGATCTCCAGAGTTCGATCCAACGACGAATAAACTTGAGCTGATGATCGTCGAGGAGTTGAGAGTGCTGGTTGAGGTTGAGGGTGGTGATGGATGAGTGTGGTTGGTGGTGGTGGTGCTAGTTGGTGTAAGCCTCTGAGAGAGTGCTTGCCACCTTCGAGGTTAAGAAATGCTA